TTGGATGAAATTAGAAAAGAAGGGGGAGGACAGAGTGGTTTGGAGAATGCTGGTCGGTGGCCTATGCTCCATTAGGAGTAACGGGCGTAAGGAAGTAAGTAAATTTCCTATTAGAATTGTCGTGATTGCTCGTGCTTCCGGTTGCTTGTAGAATATATTTCTCTCTAGTTATAGGGGCTGGGACACATCGGAATAGCTAACTCATTGGTCTTTGGTCACAGAGTCTTTGTTCCGTTCGCAGATTAAATGAACTCGTAATCGCTTCAAATTTTTTAATAAGTGACTAACTTATCTCAATAGTTATTTTTTCACTAATAAAGTTATACACATTGAAAAACGATCCGTTTTTTTTTGGAATACAAATTTATTTTCACTCAAAATATCTAGTTCATATAAACATGATCGTTTTCAAAATATTTTGTTAGTGTTATGATAAAAGTTCATATACAGAATTTCATTATTAACATTACAATACTAAATATCAATTTAACCTTCTATATGATATTAATGTCTAGTCTGATTGTTTAATTAATCTTAAAATATTCATATTTATGATTCATTTATTTATTTGAACACATAAATACTGGTACAAGGGGGCACCAGATACATATGCACCATACAAATCTCATTTGATTTGTGTGGGGGTTTGGATACTGCCCGGGCGTCCAAACCAAAGAATGTGGTTTTCATAGGAGGCCACACTCGGAGCCTTCGACCTAAAGGTCTGATCCACAAGGCAGTGGAGCATCGTAAGAAGATGTAGTCCCATGGTAGCCGGTGACCAACGATTGGTTCATACGCCATTCGTTCCTTCAGGATACTGGAGCCCATGTGCACCATTGGTTTGGAATGAGAGTTTTTCAACACCCCTTGGGTGGATCCTCCATATCCACCAACCCGCTCAAAGCGCCGGACATTTACTTAACGTCCATTCAATTTCGTAAACAAAACTCCGCGAGAATTCAGTGAGTAGGACTTCCTTAGCAATGGCTGATTACACGTGGCCATGTGGGAGCATTTTGAGAGGAAGAGCAGACTCTCCCCTCTCTTGGCCGTACCAGGGCATTTGAGGTCCATATTTATAATACAATACAATTAATTAAATTTAGTAATTTTATTAAACAAACTATTTTACATAATCTTATTATACAATATTTCTATAAAAATAATTCCTGGTATAATAAAAATTTATCATAAAATTCAATCCAATAAAAACCAATAGAGTTATATATTCCTTCTATAAATAATTGAATTAAAACTGATAAATGATCTGTTATTTTCATATTACATATCTGCAGTCTCGTATCACAGCAATGGAACTACTAATTGTTATAACTTGTGATCTTGTGCTCTATTAATGTATAACGTAATTATACCACCAATTAGAGGACAGTGAATTATCGACCGGACCAATGACGCGTAAACCTGTACGAGAAGTCTAGCGTCCTTAACGGTCCTTCTTCCTACCTAACCCTGTCTGTTGAATCCAGAACACTAATCTCAGCCTCTGCGGTATGAATCATGTATTTCAAGCATACTGGGTTCATATACAAACCAAACAGACCATATCGCATCACAAAATAGAAAACAACATTTGTACAAGATCTAGACAGAAGTGGCTGTGAATGTGAGAGACTGTATTTCATAAACTGGGCATAACTCGAGAACGGTAAATCGCATAATAACAGCCTATGGGTCAAAATAAGGCTTATAATAGGAGGAACATGAATATGCATAGTTTAGCTACTTAACAATTATACAATAAAAATATATGTATCGTATTTCTTCATAAGTAGTTCTCAAGAGTTATCATTCATAATTCTCGTCGGGATATAACATTGATAAATGTTCTCTGTCAAATATTTACTCATCCATTATTTATAGCTTTCCCTATTCAAGGCTAGAATTTTATAAGCAGTAAAACAGTTTATTCTTTATATAGAAGCAAAGTTTAAGCATAATCAAAAGAACACAACCCAGTGTAAAGAAAAACAAAACATTTAGCTACGATGGATATTGGCTTAATTTATTTTCTCATTTGTATAACTTCAGTTGCATAATTATTTTATCTGTTATATTTTCAATAGCTTTGAAAAGTAAAGCACTCTTGTAATTCGTTTTGTATTGGTTGTTTAAATCGTTCGATTGATGTTTAAAACTGTGCGGATTGTCTTGATATTGTCTTAAGTCACAAATACTATAAGCAGAGATGGATGCAGGCACATCCGGCTGACGAGTCCCAATTAGGACGAAACGCGCATCTTACATTCCATTGACAGCCACCATCAATCTATGCTTATAAAGCAAACTTGATTATAATAATGTGAAAATTTCTATTCACATAATCTGAACAATCAATTTTATGAACATTTAAAATTACTTAGAAATAGATGTAGAAACTAAAAGAATTAGCATGTATAAATATAGAGGTTAACTGTGTAAAGGAAACGTAATCATGCAAAGTATTTAAATGAAATAGATTCAAGCATTATTGAAATGTGTATTAAATAATTCATGTTACTATGTGTAGTTGAGATGTTTAATTTATTTTCTATCTTATTGATTAACACAGTAGAATTTGCGACCCTAATATATTGTAAATCAATCAACCTTAATAAGAGACATAATCGTATATAAATTCAAAGTGTAACCTATCCATTATAGTAGTTACTCATCAAACTTATACAACCATTTATTGTAACATTTTTTTCATTTAATACTAAGTTTCAGAGTTCAATTTTAAGAATCTATCATAAATGGAAAATTTCAGGCTATCAACAATAAAACTGTAATCCTGTACTGTACCTAGTATTTTTTGTAAACTGGCTTTCTTTTCGATAAAAGTCTGAGGTGAAAAAAGAACATCATTAACTTCGACTGCTTACAAATATCATGTCATAAGTAAATTCAATTATCCCAAAAGATAAATAAATGACTGATTATTTACATTTTTGTAAAAAAATATTCAGTTCCAACTATTGTGTGAACAAATAATTATCGTCCCAAAAAGTATGTAAACAATTCTAAGAGACATCTGTTCTATCTAGAACTTAGATTCTTAATATACCGTCTATAACTTGGACACTCAAACACTAGAACCCTTTAAGATGCAAATGAGAATAAAGAAGACAAGTAAAAGGAATGCTATTCTAAACAGTGTCAAATATGGTACAAAACTATCAGGTATTTATGGTTTTTCGTTTAGTAAACACGAAATCATCATTATAGTCATCCCATTCGAAGATGGGCGGTTTTAGCATTTGTCCAATAGGGAATCTACATGTAGAGATTTTGGATTATTCTACCTAAAGATGATTTGATGGAATATTTTCGGTTCTTTCTGGTCTTCGCAGAGCTTCTTCGAATTCACCTGTGAGCCGTTCTCACAGCACACAAATATTCTTTATAGTAATAATGACAATATTTTCTTTATTCAACGCTACAAATTTTCTTACAGTTAGGAATTATTAATGGTAACTAGCCAATATTGTAACAAACTTGTCTTAAACATATATTTCAATCGTAATCACTCAAAAATAAATTTTATATATGCCTTCAATATTCAGTACCTGTAATTTAATCTCAAAAGTTACATTACTAGTTTAAACGCTACAACGGATTTTCATCATTCATTTTATTATTGAATATATGAATTCCATTTTACTAAACGATAGAACAGAAAGAAGAAATATTAAAAACTACACCACTTAATATTAAGATCAGTAGTAGGCTTTTTATAAAAGTTCATCAGGGTATACAGTTAGCATCAATAAACATAACAACTGCACTTGGCATATATTTTACTCCAGTAGAAATGACTTCAGTGTTTCATTAGACAGATAGTTTGCCATAAATTCAGTTGTTATTTCTTCGCTTATTTCGGACTTGTCAGTTGGATGTACCTGTATTACAGAGTTGATGTGTAGTGGCTGGTCCTATGTCAAGCCCACATAGCTTATTCTCGCTTCTAGATAAACCAACTTATCTATTCTCCTCAAGCTATATTTTGACCCTGTTAATTATTCACTTATGAACCTTGATTGTTTTTATATGAACGTATATGTGTTCATTTCTTATCTTACTCACCACATGTCTCTAGCTTATTTTTGTTCGACTCTAAATATAGGTTAACGCTTGATTAAATTGAGTTAGCTCACCTCCATTGCAAGTCATTCCGCTTCGCTCTCTTCTCTTCGCTTCGTTTCTCCACTAGTTTGTCTGGATCAACGATTGTATAAAATATACGTATTCGGAATTCATTCTCGTATTTGACTTATTTAATTCCGCTATTCACTAACGCAAGTTAAGTCATTACTTACTTACGAGAATGGCCAGGATATATATTTTGGTAGCAATTATTCAATAACAATCATGCATACGATCTAATTAGATTCAGATATACGGCCACAAAAGTGGTGAGCCCATCGACACTATCTTCCAATATAATTGGCGTCAAAATAATGGACCACTAAATATGTTCACTTTGGGACTAGAACATATTATCTTTTGCCTCAAACAACATCACGTTATCCGTTTAAATACTGAGTCCAGCTAGTCACCTACTTGTCCAACGGGTATGAGATTGAATTAAATTTGAAATGAGTTGGATTATCCTACTGTTTATATTTTTGAATGAACCGATGCAAAATTCCACCATTTTAACGCTTATTTTGGTCACTGTCATACAATAATTATGGCTCGTAATAATGTTCTTGGAAATAATTGTTAGCTTAAATATTCCTTGTCTCTGAATGTGAGGATCTTTAGACTACTGAGAAAATTTAACCAGTCATTCGTTATTCTATTGAAGCTCAGTTGTGGTTCAACTGAAGAGATAAAAAATACAAACCACTAATTCAATTTGTTCATCAGTACCACCAACCAAAATACTTAAATCCACATAATAATTATTATTGCATTAAGTAAGATAACTTTATAACATTACGCCTAATGTATACATAAGTATCATAATTATCTTATTTCAATATTCTCTTATTTAGTAAACAAACGTGCAACTTATCTTACTCAAGATCGTTTAAAACCATCATCTTATTCCTCTTTATCTTCAGTAACTGGACAAAATGATTTCAATTCAATATCATCTACTTATACAATAAATCAACGACAACCACCAATATGTCCAACATGTTTAAAATATAAAAATATTAAAGATTTAACTACACTTTCACCAGACATAATGACATTGAATACTTTCAGTGATTATAATCATGTAAGAAATTTATCCAATACACTTAAATTTTCATTATCAACATTCCATTTAATATGGTTGAATATTTTTACTTCATTCTTATATTATTATTTCGTTTGAAGTCTTAGCTATGCATAACAGTATCATTACATGAATGAAAACAATTAAATTATTCTTTCAATATTGTTTATCTATTGATGGACAGATATACAACAATTTGGTTAGTTAACTTCTATTCATTTCATTGCCAGATTCGTGTTGTTTTGCTTCATTCTGATCTTTTTACTTTAAAATCTTTTTATCTATCCATAATTTTGTACATGTTTGTCGGAAAATGAGTAGTTCAATTCGAGATATTATTGTAGTCAAGAAAAAACAAACATCTTGAATAGTATAATTTGATCTTGTAATAGACTTTTTATTATTATCATAACCGAATAGTTAATTGATAAATTACTGGAGAGACTGGAATGACTAAACGGACTGATAATTATCTCTTCTAAATGATATTCTTGAATTTCTTATGGATAAGCTTTTTAGAAACAAAATCATTGATCATCTGAAGGAATGATTGCACACATTAATGAATATCATGTAGTTAGTTCCTTTGAGAAATATATATAAAACAAGAACAACCAATGTAGTGAAATCATAGAAGTTCACTTCATTTCGTCCGTTCTACATCATTCACACAGTAGTTTACATAAATAAAGTTTTTAATAAAAGTAATTTTTTGTATGACATGCATAAAACTACGTAGTTTATTAGTGAAAAAAACAATTATAATTACTCTTTAGATCAATATAAGATTAATTTCTTGATGAGCGGAATAATCATGAATGAAAGAGAGAGAGTGAACGATTATAACGTAATCGAACACAAGAAATATGTGCACTGTTACAATTAAGTTAGATTAAAGTAATGGTGACTATAATAACAACATGTAGGTAGGTGGAAATTGTAGAACTTTCGTGGTTCAATTTAGGAACTGATCTTAATTAGGCTACCATTAATAAATTAGAAGCACTTCACAGCCGTTTCGTGCTAGTTCAACCATGTCAAGTGTGAGACAGTTATCCTCCACAAGTGATGAAAGTCGGTCACGCAATATCGTGAATTGTTTGGGGTTAAAGAATAAGACCGATCGACAATAGATTGTTGGTCTAGCGGCTAAGTGTTAGCGCGCAAGACCAAAGATCCTGGGTTCAATTACAAGACTCAATGCTGAGGAGTCCTATACTTGAATGAAACGACCGTCCAAGGCTTCTAACATTCCAACGCTGGTATAGTTAGAATAAGTTAGTGATTGGAATTATGATAATAATAATAATAATAATAATAATAATAATAATAATAATAATAATAATAATAATAATAATAATAATGTTTGGAGATGGTATAAGAAACTGCAGTAAATATGGAAAGTAATCACAATTAATTTTCCACCAATAAACTACATAGCTTTATGCATGTCATACAAAAAATTACTTTTATCAAAAACTTTATTTATGTAAATCACTATGTGAATGATGTAGAACGGACGAAATGAAATGAACTTCTTTGATTTCACTACGTTGGTTGTTCTTGTTTTACATATGTTTCTCAAGAGAACCGACTGCATGACTACTTAAATTGAAGTTAACTTTCATCAGGGACAAACATTAGCTGAAAAATTAACGAAAAAACAAGAAAGCACTTGATAACATTTATTCGCTACCTGTATCCGTAATACTATATGTAATCGAACCCAAGACCTTTACGTCTCGAAGCAGTCAGTATACCTAATGACTACTAAGTTGAAATTTAATCGATTACTTTTCGTGAGTCTTAGGTATGCAACCTTAAAAAGTCTCAAAACCGAGAAAAAGCAATGGCCTAGTTACTTTCCCGTGTGCTTTTAATTGCTTCTCCAGTTGATACTAGTCCGTAATTTAAGTTAAAATATATTTTACTGATTAGTGATTTATTGATTTCGTCATACTGCACCATTCCAGTACTAAATATATTTGAAATTGTAACTATATTTTTAGTTGCTGCCGATAAGACTAAATGTTTAGGTCATAATATGACCTCAAACGTAGCAAGTGATGAGATAGATTAGTGTTCTATACAACAAACAAGCTATATCTTCAGAACGTTACAATATCATGTGAAAAAGCAAGCTTTCTGTTAGTAATGAGTAAACAAGATCATACACAAAAGTGGTAATTATGCAATCTAGTAACAACGGAGAAAATGTTTAGCTGCCATAACATCTTATTAATTCGGATAATTATTTACAAACATAACTGATTAATCTAAGATAGGTAAGTCTACGTAAGGTGCTAACAAATTCAGGTATAAGATTTTTCGGGAAGTATGAATGTTTAATATAGACTGTCATCATTTAGAAAACTATTGTAAGTCAAGTGTTATCTTGTATTTTCATACACATAGTCCCCTTTACTATTTTGGAAAGAGCAAGAACAAAGGCTATAACAGAATAGTATGAATTCATTTGATTTCGTAGGTTCTCGTCATCTGCTTACAACCTGTGATATCTTATAGTTTTGTTAAACTAGTTTAAGATTTCGCACAGAAGAACATAATTTCAACGTTATCTAAGATAAAATTTGAAATCATCAGGTCTTTTTGTAATTTCTTTTTGCAAAATCCTCTATAGTATTCTTTCGAAATGTTCACAGTAATATATTTAAGAGGGTATCTTAGATACAATCAAAATCTTCTTTAATATATATTTCAATTTTCAATTTAATAACTAACTAAAGTGTAATTTGAACGGATTGTTGATTAGTAAGTTTACCAAACTTTCAATTAAACTGTGAATAGTTTAAAGAGAATCGATTCAGAACACTGTCTTATGACGTGATTACATTATTCTTTTATTCGGAAGTATTACCCTCATAAATAATATCATTGTAAACTATGTGTATAGAGAAAGTGAGAAGAAAAACATTCTGAATGTGGGGTTGTGGAGATCGTTGAATTTGTGATTGAGATCATTAATCAATAATTTAATAATTTCCACAACTTACTTACTTTCGCCTGTTACTCCTCTCGAAGGAACACAGGCCACTCACCAGCATTCTCCATCCAACCATGTCCTGAGCAATCCTTTCCGGCCCTTTCCAGTTGTTATTCATCCTTTTCATATCTGCTTTTATTTCCAGACGTCATGTGTTCTTTAGCCTTCCTCTTTTTCGCTTCCCTTCAGGATTCCAAGTTAGGGCTTGCTTAGTGATGCAGTTTGATGATTTGTGTAATGTATGTCCTATCCATTTCCATCGTCTTTTCTTAATTTACTCTTCAGCTGGAAGCTGGTTTGTTCTCTCCCACAAAAAGCTGTTACTGATGGTGTCCGGCCAATGGATGTTGAGTATCTTGCGCAGACAACCATTTATAAATACTTGTATCTTGTTGATGGTGCTTGTTGTAGTTCTCCAAGTTTCAGCTCGGTACAGTAGAACTGCCTTGACATTCGTATTGAAGATTCTGATTTCGATATTGATTGAAAGTTGTTTTTAGTTCCATATGTTCTTCAATTGTAGGAATGCGGCACTTGCTTTACCAATCCTCGCTTTTACGTCTACATCTTAACCTCCTTGTTCATCGATGATGATTCCTAGGTACGTGAAAGATTCTAAATCTTCCGGAGTTTCGCCATCAAGAGTGATTGGATTGGTGTTCCTCGTGTTGTATTTGAGGACCTTGGTTTTTCCCTTGTGTATGTTGAGGCCTACTGATGCAGAGACTGTTGCTACACTGGCTGTCTATATCTGCATTTGTTCGTGTGTATGCGATGGAAGAGCTAAGTCATCTGCGGATTCCAAATCGTCTAATCGATTCTGAGCTGTCCATTGTATTGTGTGTTTTCCCTCAGATGTCGAGGTCTTCATAAACCACCAGAAGAAAGAGTAAGGGAGAGAGTAAACAGCCTTGTCTGACTCAGGTCCTTACTTGGAATGCATCGTGGCCGGAGTACAGCAGCATCTCTCCCGTATCTAGCCTTTGTTGTCCAGATTGGGTCCAACGGGTTTCGCTGATTCCCAGTACTCCCAAGTTGTATCTCCTCATTTCCGTTGCTATTTGGCTGGTCTTCCCGGTCTCCCACATTGTCCGGTCGTTCCATGTACCTATAAAAATTATTGCTCTGGTTGTTAGAAGGGGCATCGGCCTCGTCGCTTCCGAAGAAACTCGGCTTTCACCATGAAGCATCATAGTTCTTCCAAATGACAGCTTTCTAACTCCCAGGGTAGAGTTAAAATGGTTTGGGTTATTTTTTCTGGTTAGCGTTTTTTTAGCGAGTTAATTTTCTACGGGATGGAGTCGCTAACCCCATGCACAACCCTTCTCCTTTACCCGGGCTTGGGACGGGCAGTAACTCTAGAAGAGCTACAGGTGGAGTTAATTTCCTTAACGCCACACTCATAATTGTCATGTGCTCACTAGTGACTAGCTTCGTGAGGGAATTCTTGGAGTTCTAGTTAGAAGCTGTGACCAGTGAAGCTAATCTATGTCAGATAGAGACAGGTATCTACCTCAGACAAGATGGTCAGTTAATTTCGTGTATTATTTTTAGTTAGACATTAACACCGTGGGGTGTCGGCTCAGTGGTCTAAAGTTTAAGAGTTCGCGCGCCAGATCGAAGGTCTTGAGTCCGAATCTCGCGCACGAGATCGTGGATGCGCGCTTCTGAGTAGTCCCATACTAGGACAGAACGCCGTCTAGTGCATCCAGGTTTTCAATGGTGGTTTAACATTCATTGATTCATGATCTCACTCAAAAACATTCTGTATTGAAATCTATTGTTGATCGATTTTAGTGTCCGGTCTGAGATTTTTATTGTTAAGCTTAATAATGACAGTAATTTCAAATAATTCTCATCATATTTCATGTTATCTTCTTCTATTTTGATAGACATTTTTTTCCTTAAGTGATTAAGATTACACACTACTAGCTGTATTCATGGTTAAATTGAACAACTACAAGCACCGTTCATTAGTTATTTTTTTATCTAGTTTATGT